TTTCTTTCATTGATCAGTAATGCTGACTTTGGGGGGAAGGCAGCCCCGTTCTCTACCTAGACTATTGCCTCTTAACTGACATTCCTAGCTCTTTTCTCTCTTATCATCTCCAATCCATCCTCCATACAATTGGCTTAATAATTTTCTCAATGCATTGTCATGATTATGTCACTTATCTACCCAAAAAACTTTAGTGTGTCCCCTTTACCTAACAAAGAATATATAAACTCATTATCCTAGTATTCAAGGCCCTCTGCATCTGGTTCCAAACCACTTGTGTAGCTCCATCTCACACTCTTGATATATTTTACATTCCAACTAAACTGTCCTATTTTGTATTCTTATTTTATCTTCTTTATTCTCCAATGTTAGGCCTTTGCTATGTCCAACGCCAGGAATACTTTCCTTCCCACCCTCTCCCGACCACCCCCATCTGCAGAAGTTTCTCATTTCCTTCAACACCCAACTCAGCTGATACCTCTTCCAAAAAACTTAACCACCCTCTCAGACCACCACCTTCCTCAAGGTGAAAGTGATCTCTTCCACTTCAAAATGTTCCTAGTTTTTTTTTGCCTGACCCTTCTCTAGATTTATCTTAATTACCTTTGGGTCATAGTAATTTGTTTATTTATCCTTCTGCTCTTATCCTTTCCCTCAGGTGGTAAGTCCTTTGAGGGCAGAGCCTATATAAAAATCTTTCTTTGTATCCTCAGAGCCTATGACAGTGCCTTTTACAAAGTTGGGGCCAAATAAATGTTGGGCACATGCTTCTAGAGAAACTACATTTAATTCAATTCAATTCATCAAATGTTAGGTGCTTACTGAATGATGAGCTGTGATCTTAACTTTACAAAGTTTGGAAAAAATCTAATCCCTGCCCTCCTGGAGCAAACAGTCTGGTAGAAGGATGATATAAGTAATATACAATATGGCATGATGAGTGCACTAGTTAGGTGTAGACATAGTGCTATGTGAGATCTGAGAACTAGGGTGGTCAGAAATGTATTATGAAAGAGGTGGTATTTGAGTCAGGCTTAAAAGGAAGGAGAGAAATTCAACAGTTTATCTCAAATCACTATCACACACACACACACACACACACACACACACACACACACTCCACTCCAGCCTAATTATATGTCCCCAGTCTACCTAACTGGACTGTAGGGATTGGTGGTTCTTGGTAGATAAATCAAAGGCACTGAAACACAGAGATCAGACATCTAACTCTGCCGTGAACTCACTCCCATGACCTACCTAGAACAAAATACTTACCTGCTCGGTAACTCAATTTCCCCACTTTTAAAGCAAAGATAATAATTTTAATCTCTACAGCACCAAGACCAACCTCAAGGCATCCTGAGCATCAATCTGTTTTCACTACTTGTGAGGTTGTGGCAGGATCAGGGCAAGCGAGCCACGAGAGAGGCTAACAACTGCACTGAGGCCTAAGGACAGCTATAATGCCAAGATGATGCTAACTTCTCTCATGGACACATGAACTTCTCTTTTGCTCTCTAGCCAAATTCTGTTATGACTCTTCTGAGGAGGGTCACAACAAGCAGGGTGAATGAATTGCCAAAAAGAGTTATGGCATCTATTTTCCTTCTAAAATAAAAATAACTCACTTTGATAAATGTTCATGGGCTTTACTTTTTTTTACAGATGATTTGAATGAGAGCTTAAACTATAGCAGTCAAAAGAAGTGGATGACTTAGCAAGGTCCCTTCTAGCTCCTGAGTTCATGTGAAGGGCTGAGTCAATTAGAAATGTAATCTTGTTTCATCTTAATTAAAGGATTATTCATTATGATTTTTATTTTCTTATATTTTTAAAGATATAAACTAAACCAATGTAGAGAGAATGGTATATTGTCCTGGAGTTGAAGTCAGAGGAACTGGGTTTGAATGTTGGCACTACCACTTACTAGCTACATGTTCTAGAAGTGACCATCAAGTCATTTCCCCTCCCTAGACCTCAGTTTCTGTATCTGTAAAACAGGATTGGACCAGATGCCAAGATCCCACTCTAAATCCCTAGTTGAAATACTACAGTATTATGGTAATTTAGAAAAGGCAGCATGAAGTAGAGGAAAAAGTGGTGAACTCAAAGTCAAAAGACCTAAGTTTGAGTCCAGGCTCCCCCAGTTAATAGGTATGTGATCTAAGGCAAGTGATTTCACACTTACTGAACTCTAGTTTTTTCATCTATAAAATAGGACTCAAAATCCTTGCCCCTCCCTCTCACAAAGTGTAGTGAAGCTCTAACGAATTAACAGGCATGAACTTGCTTTGAAAACTTCAAGTGTAAAACATGTGTACTGTGTAATTATTAATATTATATATTCAACATTCAGGAGTGATGAATTAGTGTAAGCACAACTACATACATTGGCAAAATTGGTTTGATTAAAAATTCAAGAGGTCCAATTTTTGAAGCTTTGTTAGACTATTATATATAACTAGGAATTACCTTAAAATGGGGGAGTTGAATAGAGGATCCTCCAACTCTAAAGACCCTTTCCAACTTGTGATCTGGTGACTGGCTTCTGTCTCTTAATATATGGTCTTGCTGCAGTAGTGAAATGGAATCAATCAAGTCCTTTGGTCAGGCTGGTTCTACCACCATGACCACAGAAGACAGTGTGAGAAAATGGCTTTGTCCATTCCCAGATGGGCAACGTTGCTAACAAAATATACCATCAACCTCAATGTCTAACCCCATGGGTTGGAAGCTGGAGAGAGGGGGGATAGGGGATATAAGCCCCCTTAAGGTTTACAGGGAGATCAGAAAAAAATCACATCCCTTATGAGCAAGAGCATGCTCAAGAGCATGGATGTCCCTACAGTGACTCAGTTCCCTGGGAATTACAACAGGGAATTGGGATATATCTTAGGGATGGAGCAGAGTACTACTACCTTACCATCTCTTTTCTGTTTATCTTACAGAGGTATGTGAATAAAAGAACCATGAATAGACTGATGCCTTGGGAGAAAGATTCTACCTGAAGCTTGACAAAGCCTGGAGCAGGCTTTCCTCCCCTCTGTTCCTAGGCAATATATATTCCCTCATGTGCAGAGGGAAGCTGGATTCTTCCAGATACTTTTTCTCTTAATTTGCATAATTTAAAATCTCATAATTATAAGAAGTCATGATCACAGATTCATAGAATGTTAAAGGTAGAACACACCTTAAAAAAACAGACCCAGAGAATAGAACTAAAAGGGACTTTAAAGCATAGAGCGCAGAATGTCAGAGTTAGAAAGGAACTTAGAATGCATAACAAAAAACATCCGTCCTGGAAGAGGCCTTAGAACAGATTCTTGGAAATGGCTCTGACCTTACAGAGCAGAATGCTCAAGGTTCTAATACCATAGAACACAGACTGGTGGAGCTAGAAGGGACTTTAGAATTCATCTAGTTCTAATCCAAGACTGCCTCATTTGACAGATGAAAAAACAGAGGCCAAGAGACTGAAGTCTTTTGTAGCAAGAAAAATGAATTGGGTACTGAACTTGGAATCAGGAAGACCTAAGTTCAAATCCTACCTCAGACCCTAATTAACCATGTGACCCTGGGTAAGTCACTTAATCTTGTCTGTGCCTCAGTTTCCTCACCTATAAAATGGGAGGACCAGATCTGATGGCCTCTAAGGCCCTTTACAGCTCTAAATCTATGATCCTATGATCTATGATCCCATGACGTGATACACCCAGTTAGGAGCAGAGCTGGGGCTAGACCCCCTGCTGTTTCTGGGAAAAAGAACCACAGATTTCTCAGTGGCTTTTGGTGACTACACATTTTTGCTACCATGACAGAGACTTTATATTAATATCTATTGCACTTTAAAAATAGGGTCAGCCATGCACTTCAGACCACTCTTGAGATTTCACTTAACAAATTGATTGGCTAAAACTATCATTGCTCCCTCACATTTACTGATGAAAAAATAAAATAGTCAGAATGTTCCATTTTTACCTTTCCTATAGAGGATTCCATTGTTTTCTTCCAAGATATATTCAAGACATTTTAACCAAATACATACTAAAAAAAACTCAGCTAAAAACAGTCCCAGACATGTCAAAAATTAAGTAAGTTGTCTACCTCACCTTTGTGGATCAGACAAGCCTTACCCTGGATGCAGGATTAATAAGTGTCTGTGTCTCCTCTATGATAGCTTCCACCTTCTTTTTATTGTTATTTCATTAGATGTACATGAAGCTTTTCCAATGACTAAACCCATGTTTTAAAGTTAGCTGAACTCTTCCTCTCTACAACATTCAGAAATGTGTATGTGACATTGATCAATTTACTTCCCTTCTTTTGGATTCAGCTGGAAGTTTGAAATTGGAAGGTTGAACTGAGCAATTGTTCTTCAGGTACATTCTGGATCTAATATTAGAGTCCCAACTCTGCTAGACCTTGGGAAAGTCACTCCCCGCCTCTCTAAGCCTCAGCATTCTCATCTGTAAAATGAGGTAACTGGATTGGATGAGCCCCACAATCCCTTAAAGCTCTGACACTCTACATGGTGAGTGCATTCCAAGAGAGTACGATCTCTCAGAAGGTCCATTCCAACTATTTCCATCTAGGTTCTATGTTATAAAGTCCCTTTCATCTATAATACTCGATGTCTGTTCCAACTCCATGGAGGTGCTGTGGAATGAGGGGAAAGAGAGCTAGATTTGGATTTAGAGGAGATGGATTCAATTCCTGACCCCTGCATAACCTGGACAAGTCACTTAAAGTGTATAACCTAGTTTCAGTATATACAACATGATGTTGTTGGATAATATGTTGTTTGATGCTCTTTCTAGCTCCAAAACTATGGTCCTATGTATTCATTTGCTATGTTAAACCCCCCCCTCAAAAAAAGAAAAAAATATTTCATTTATATCTCATTGATATGATTCAGGGGATGCCATAAGACGAGTAAACAAATTTTGTAAGAAAAGAATCCTTTTGACTTCTGGGATAATAGGGGAGATGATTGGTGTTACCTTCTCTGGAGCAGGAAACTGCAGGTGATTTACTTCCAAGGGTGTTATCAAAGGAACAGTCTGAAAGCCGTCCTCACCAGAAGGCTGTTTGCTGTTCTTGTCACTCAAATTACTCCCCAGCTTCACCATTCTTGAGCCTCACTTCCCAGACCTAAAACAGTCCAAATGAGTAAGGTGACAACAGAAGGAGAGTGCAGGAAAAAATAGAAGATCACAGTCATGAGAAATAGTTCCTTCCTAAATAGCTCCATTCTGGCTGACATTAACATCAAAAGCTCACAACTCAGAGCTCAGAGCTTATGTTTCTATTGAGTTTAAAAGATGACAGAGCTTTTTCCCACAACTCTGTAAAGTAAATAAACCACACAGGTATTATTATCCCCACTTTACAGAGGATGGAATGGAGCCTTGGTGAGGTATAGTGACTTTCCTAGGATCACTCAATGAGTATCTGAGCTTGGATTTGAACCCTGGTCTTTCGAGGTTGAGACATAATTCTTCAGACTGTTCAGTGATCCTTTGAGGACACCTTTGTTAGGTTTCCAGAGAGTATTGCAATTGTACAACTAGACTCATTTAACATGTTTCCCTTGTCCTAATATACATAGGATTCAACAGCCATGGTCTGGGTTAAGCCAAAAGCAAATTAAAGATGTAGTTTTAAAATATGTGCAAAACAGAAATAATTTAAAACATTAGCTGAAAAATGCAAGCTGTTCACATTGAAAAGACATAACCAGAAGGCAGAACAAAGTCATAATACTCTGGAGCATCATGCAGTATGATACATTTCACCTCACTATTTGAATAGCTATTTTTTTTTTGTTTACAGTTTCTCTTCAGCAAATCTACTAAGAAGTATATTGTTTGCATGTGCATGTGTCCATGTATAGATTCATAAAGGCATTACACATTTTCATCAATATGTATTCATATCCTACATTTTTTAGTTGTCATTATTAACTGGTTCTTTGATTCAGTCAACATAATAGCCACTGGATTTACTCCAACATAGTATGGTTATATATGTTTTTAATACCTAACTGCACAATACCTAACTAAATAAATGCCCTGAATTTCTTCCTTTCTACCTCTTTCTGAGTCAAAGAAAGAATCCTCCATTTAGGACCACAATGCAGCTTAGCATGACCTGATTTCATTTATCAGTCCTGTTGATGAGAAAAAAAACAGGGGTGTCATAATGAAAGAGGGTGGGGTAGGGTGGGATGGGGGTGAAATGGAGCAAAGTAAACCCTTGTACTTACTGCAAACCACGCTTGAAGAGTCAGGCCAGATTCAGGCCAATCTGAAGAGCAGGGCTGGTTTTCCCTCGATCGAGATCTTCGAACTGATGGTGCTGAAGGGACAGGGCTCCTGGGTGTAGCAGCCTGAATCCAAGACCTACTAACAGTAAGCTGGGAGCAGAGAGTATAGTAGCTCCTGCCTGCGATAAGCACACAGCTCTCTCTCTCTCTCTCTCTCTCTCTCTCTCTCTCTCTCTCTCTCTCTCTCTCTCTCTCTCTCTCTGTTGCTCTCTCTCTCTCTCTCTCTCTCTCCCTCTCTCTCTCGGGTAGTGGCTTGCTATTCCATCTGGCATCTGGCACCACCTGCTGTTTCTGATGCATGGCCGCAACTGCCACATAGAAAATACAGTTTCAAAAGGGAAGAAAGAATTAATAAATGAAGTGAATAGAGTGGAATAGAAATATATATATTATATATACATATATATTAATAAACACTTACCAAGCAACGCCACCTTGAGCCTTTAGAAGAAATGAAAAGGAAAGCTAACTGAGAAAGTATACCCCTTCCAGAACTAAACTGTGATCCAGGAGCACAACAAAAACCAAAGCCAAATTCTGGATACTTGAAATTTGCTATCAGAGCCAGTTTGTTCATAGAACTAATCAAGTTAATCAAATTGTGAATAAAATTAATTCAGAGTTGGGTCTCTTTCTATTGCTGCTGTCCCAGAGTCGTAGGGAATCACTCTGGCATTTCTAGTAATTGAGATCAGAACCAGGAGCATACATTTGGGAATTTTATATCAGATGTTCAAAGCAAAGAATGCTGAAGGGCCTAAGGAGGTCTAAAGAAGGCTGTTTTTCAGGGTTAAGAGAAATTCAGATTATCTGAAGCTGGCAGCCAGAAGAAGAAGGCTTCAGGAAAGAGGAGGTTAGAGTGAATAGTAAATTCCAGGAAATCTGGAAAATATCCTGTTTCTAAAATTGCTACATCTGAAAGAACCTCATTAGGGTCCTATGCTTCCTCACATAACTGTCATTAAAGCATAAGCTTAAGGGAACTTACCTGCTGTTGCAAGAGAAATAGGGAAAATATCCAATTCAAATCCATCAGCAGACTCTTCATTCAATTCCTAAGTTCTCTTTGATCACAGAACTATGGAGTTATTTTTCTGTTACAGAAGAAATTGAGGCAAGGAAGTAAACTGATGGAAATGGAACATTCAGGAACCAGAAGGAAATAAAAAAGAAAATATCTGGATGATAATCAATGGAAGCAGAAATAGAAAGAGAAAATACATAAGGGATTTGTAAAACATCCAAATACTGGTAAAGATATAAGGAAGATATGGTACAATGAAAAAAGAATGGCTTTTGAGTCAGAGGACCTGAGTTCAAATGATACTTCTTGTGCTTGGCGCATCCTTAGACTCCTTCAGCTTCAGTTTCTTTATCTATAAAATGAGGGACTTAGACCAGATGGCTTCTGATGTCCCTTCTAGCCCTGGATCTCTGATCCTACAGGTTTGATGATTGATGATTTTGGTTATTTGGACATCTGCTAAAGCTTTTTCTCTGCCCCAAAGAGAGTAATTAATAATTCATTGATTTCAATCAAATCCAGCCTCAGAAAATTACTAGCTGATTGACCCTGGGCAAGTCACTTAAAAACCTCTGTCTGCCTCAGTTTCCTGAACTATAAAATGGGGATAATAATGGAACCTATCCCCCAGGGATATTCAAACAGGATATTTGTAAAACACTTAGCACAATGTTGGACGCAGCTAGATAGTTAATAAATGCTTGTTCTCTTCCTTTCTTTCTTTAAGTGCCAATTGTGTGTCAAGCACTGTGAAGGCACTAAGGATACAAATACAAACCATGAAACAATTCTGACCTTACATTACGCTTTTATCCAACAAAAGATGCAAAATTCAACAAAGGGAATTTCTATTGATCAAATTATTTTTAAATTTATTTTTAGCATTCTTTTTTTTTCAGATTTTGAGTTCCAATTTTTCTCTTTCCCTTCCACCCCTGAGAAGGCAAGAAATGTGGTATCAATTATACATGTGAAATCATGCAAAATTTATTTCCACATTAGCCATGTTGCAAAAAAAAAGCAAGAAAAATAAAGAAAGTGAAAAATTATGCTTCAGTCTAAAGTCTGATTTCATCAGCTCTTTCTCTGGAAGTGGACCGCATTTTTCATCATAAGTCCTTCAGAATTGTCTTGGAGCATTGTGTTGATCAAAATAGCTAAGTCTTTTACAGCTGATCATTCATTGTACAGTATTGCTGTTACTGTGCACAATGTTCTCCTGGTTCTCCTTACTTAACTTTGCAGCAGTTCATATAAGTCTTCCCATGTTTTTGGAACCATCCTGCTTATAATTTCTTATAGCACAACAGTATTTCATCACAGTCATATATCATAGCTTATTCAGTCATTCCCCAACTGATAAGCATCTCCTCAATTTCCAGTTCTATGCTGCCACAAAAAGAGCTGCTATAAATATTTTTTAGATCCTTTTCCTTTTCTTTTGATCTCTTTGGGATATAGACCTAGTATTGGTATTACTGGAGCAAAGAGTATGCACAGTTTTACAATCCTTTGAGCATAGTTCCAAATTGTTCTCCAGAATGGTTGGATCAGTTCACAACTCTACCAACAATGTATCAGTGTCCCAATTTTTCCCATATCCTTTCCAACATTTGTCATTTTCCTTCTCTTTCATGTTAGCCAACCTGACAGGTGTCAAGTAGCACATCAGAGTTAATTTAATTTGTATTTCTCTAATAGTGATTTAGAGTATCTTTTCATATGCATATAGATAGCTTTGATTTCTTCATCTGAAAACTTCCTGTTCATATTCTTTAACCATTTATCAATTGGGAAATGACTCATTTCCCAGTTTCCCCACCTTCCTTCTAATCTTGGCTTCATTGGGGTTTGTTTGTGCAAAACCTTTTTAATTAAATGTAATCAAAATTATCCATCTTACATCCCCTCTGCCTCTCTATTTCTTATTTGCTCATAAATTCTTCCCTTATCCATAGATCAGTCAGGTAAAAATTTTTTATGCTTACCTAATTTTCTTATTATACCACCCTTTATGACAAAATAATGTACCCGTTTTAACTTTATCTGGTATGTGATGTGATGTTAGACTATAGTTAGTTTGTGCCAAACTGCTTTTCAGTTTTCCCAGCAATTTTTGTCAAATAGTGAGTTCTTGTCCCAAAAGCTTGGATCTTCAGGTTTATCAAACACTAGATTATTATGGTCATTTACTACTGTGTACTATGGATCCAATCTATTCCACTGACCCCCTACTCTATATCTTAGCCAATACCAGATTGTTTCTATGATTACCACTTTGTAATATAGTTTGAGATCTGATACTGCTAGGCCACCTTCCTTCACATTTTTTATATTCTTGACATTTTTTTCTTCCAGATAATTTTGTTATGATTTTTTCTAGCTCTTTAAAATAATTTTTGGTAGTTTGATTGGTATGGCAATGAATAAGTAAATTAATTTAGATAGAATTGTCATTTTTATTATATCAGTTCAATGTACATATGAACAATTAATATTTTTCTACTTATTTAGATCTGTCTTCATTTGTGTGAAAAACATTTTGTAATTGTGTTCATATGGTTCCTGGGTTTGTCTTGGCAAGTAGACTCCCACTTATTTCAAATGGAATTTCTCTTTCTATCTCTTCCTGCTAGACTTTGTTTATAATATATAGAAATACTGATGGCATATAATGTGATCTTATTCTATATCCTGCAACTTTGCTGAAGATACTAATTGTTTCAACTGCTTTGTTTTGTTGGCTACTGTATCGTAGAGTTTGTGAAAGGGAAAGAGAAATAAAACAGGAAAACATGCATCCTAGGTTTCATGGGAGGAGATTCAAAGAATTAAGAAAAAGGCTCACATAAACTAAAATTCTATAAGGGAATTTAACTCAAGAGTTCTGAGTTTTCAAGAATGAAATCCTGAAAACAGAAAGAATTCTAATTAGGAAAAGGAGTTGTCTATAGAAAATATAGATATGGAAACACATTGAATTCATCAATAAATGTAGGTTTTTAAAAGACACATACAGAAATGGAAGTGAGAGCAGATAACTGTGTGGATAAAAAAGCATAGAATTAATTACAAAGTGCTCCATAAAGAATTAAAGAACAACCTACATAGCAGGAAGAATATTCAGTACTCATGAGTAGGCCATGCTAATTGAATAAAAATGACAATACTACCAAAGTTAATTTATACTTTTAATGCTATATCAATCAAATTACCAAGGGGATACTTTATAGAACTTGAAAAAATAATAACAAAATTCACTTGGAAAAACAAAAAATCTAGAATGTCAAAGGAAATGATGAATGCAATAGAACATTATTGTATTGTAAGAAATGATGTGTGTCATGAATACAGAGAAGCATGGAAAGATCTATATGAACTGAGGCAGAGTGAAGAAAGCAATTTACACAGTCACTACCCAATATAAATGTAAAGAACCATGCAAAAAAAATCGAAAGTGAATGTGACAAAATTATAAAAATCAAGCATAACTTGAATAAAGAGATATGAAAGGATATTCCCAACTCATGGTGTTGTAGAAGTGGATGGTTCTCAGGTGTTACATATTGCACATGTTTTAATCCACTGATCAGTTAATTTTTTTTGTCTTCTTTTTCTTTCTTTTTTTTTTGTCCTAAAAAAAATACTATTATATGGGATGTCTCTCTGGGAGGGGAACAGAGAAAAAATGATACTGGGGATGACTATGATAATGTAAAAAAAGCCCCAGACGCTTAAAATGAGCTCTGGCTGGCAAGAAATGTTAAGGACAACAAAAATATTGTTGCTGTTGTTGTTCTGTCCTCTTGGTTCCCCCTTATATGTGCCTGACTGTTGCTTCTCAGGATTTCTTTTATTCAGTCATCATCTGTGTTATGCCTCATAATTGTGTATTTATCTCCAGGGCTCTGTCTTGTACCCTCTACTCTTATCTCTCTACACTTGAAAACTTTACTAGCCCCCAAGGATTTTACTAGACTCTCTATTTAGAAGACTCATAGATCTATATATATCTAGTCTTAGTCTGCTTCTGAGCTCT